TCTCTCTCTCTCTCTCTCTCTCTCAGCATTCTTGTGTCTAAACATATGTGACATTTAATTCAAAAACAAATCTTATTAATTTAAAACTAAATGAATAATAATAATGTTACTATTACTCTATTTTAAAATAATTACTGCATGCCATACAGTTATCTTTCAATTCTATCAAAATATTTTCTCATAAAGTAGTTAATATAAAGTAGTTTTGCATCAAGGCAAACCTTAAACCTTTTAAAGCCTCTAATTAACTGTTTTGTTTTATGTAATTAGTTAATTTTAATAATTGGCAAGTTAAAACTTTATAAGCTTTCTAAAAACAATGAAACTATCTGAAACACACATCCATTTAGTTTAAGCAAATTGTTCATTTTAACATAATATTTGTTATAAAATTTACTAAATGTAAATTACGGATTAGATTGTCTTTTTTAGTAAATTTAAGTTATTTTGTAAATAAATATAATACAATAGATAAATATTATACAGTGAATAAAAAAGTGATAACAACTTGGTCCACTTCAGGAATATCATAAGGAATAAAAATTTGAAAAAATATATAAAATAACCAATTTGCAAATAATTGCCATAATTTAGTAAAATTCTTTAAATATAATAATGAATATGATGCAATTTACATTATATTTTTATTATAAACACAAAATATTTATTTTTTTAAATACTATTTTAAGATTTATGGTTTACATACAATTTATAAAGATATCAATAGAAAGTGTGTCCAAAGTCTATATTTATTTGTATGAATGAATTTCTTATTTCATGTTGAATAATAAAATTTTTGAATGAGAATAATATATTTTGTCTAGAATTTCATCTAATTATTATATATAAAACAACAAATGTGTTTACATTTAATATAATTTTCACAAATTACTTCACGTTTTGCACATTTCTATATAAGATTATAGACAACTATAAATAGAATTAGAAATATTCTGTTAAATAAAATATACAACAATTTGAATTCGTTAATGAAATGACAAATAATAGTAAAATAAAACAAAAATCTTAAAATATTTTCCTCTATAGGTTGTGTCATACATAAGAGAATTAAAACAGAAAGACCCAGGTATATTTGCCTGGGAGATCAGAGACAGACTATTACAAGATGGTGTTTGTGATAAATACAACGTGCCTTCAGTCAGCAGTATTAGGTAATTGTTATAATTATGTTAAATCTCATTCAATTTAATGAATATAACTGAATTTAATACATATTTTACATCCATTTGTACCAAAAGTCGAATTCTTCGAAATAAAATAGGAATGACTGGCAGTAGTGGATCGACACCGGCATCAGTGTCTCATTTGCATCACCACCACCACCATCATCATCCCTCCTCACACTCCACCTCATTAAGTACTTACAGTTTAGATAACAAAGAGAGCGTACGGGCCGTCACATCGGCTGCAGCGGCCCTTTACAGTCCAATATACGCGCCGTACGGTTGTGGGGGTGCAATGACCGCAATGACCAATGTCTCGATGTCACATCCAAACTCATCGGTGTCGTCGCCTTCACAAATCAATTCTGTCTCGGGATCAGTGTCTGTGCCGGTGCTCGTGCGCGATGGCAAAGCTGGTCACCATCACGTCAGTGGTCAGGACATAGGCAACAGCATCTCTAACATAACGGCCGCAGAACTCTCTCAACTCCCTTCAGGTCCTCAATGCATGACATCGTTCAACATGAATGCCGTTATGCCATCCATGTATGGTCTCATTCATCAGCACCGGTGGTGGTAATGCCGGTGCTCTCACAAGTCAGTGCTGCTATTAGGCACCGACACAACAAACTGAATAACATAACCGTATCATAAACTGCTAAACATTGAACATTTTGTCTGCCGTATGAATGCTTCGGACGTATAACATATGCACACTCTTTCACTACAAAACTACACAAACTGTAAATTAAATAACAATTTCTATTTTATTAAACTTTTATTTTTCATTATATATTTGAATTATTTGTATAGTTTTATTGTATGTATATTAGACTCATTATTATACAGTATAATTAATGGTACACAAACTGTAAATTAAATAACAATTTCTATTTTATTAAACTTTTATTTTTCATTATATATTTGAATTATTTGTATAGTTTTATTGTATGTATATTAGACTCATTATTATACAGTATAATTAATGGTGATTTAGACGTGCTTATCATCTCAGATGATAATTCTATTAATTATTTATGGTAAGCAATTCAGTGTATGTAAAATAATTAAAAATTACAATATTTGATAATAAAGACTACAAATATTAAAATTCAAATATCTTTGAATTTATTTAAAACAATACAATGACTATACGTTGCGAAACAAATTATAACTCTGTAACCACTTAAAAATATCTGATATATCTCATCATGGTCATCACAATAGTCATTACAGTTATGTACAATTTGTTGAATATATGGTTATGCATCTAATTAACAGTAATCCGTGTCTATACTCTTCACAAAAGAAACAAAGTATATTTATGCATTCAGTTTACTTTTAATATTAAAATTATTATCAATTTTATATAAAGTTATTTCAATTGTGATTATTAAAATTAAAACTTTATAATATATAAAATTTTTATAATGTTTTTATATTTAATAAAGTAACTCTTTTATGTAAATAGACTTCCAAATAGAGGCACAGAATTGTTTGAAACATTGCAAAAATTAAAAAAAAAGTGAACAGTTGTGCTCATATGAACATATTATGGGGACAGGGGTGAGGGTTATATGGGGTATAAGCTGTGTTCAAGTGATTGTTGACCTCTCTCTCTCTCTCTCTCTCT